TATCTATCTATCTATCTATCTATCTATATCTTCTATCTATCTATCTATCTATCTATCTATCTATCTATATCTATATCTATATCTATATCTATATCTATATCTATATCTATCTATATCTATATCTATATCTATATCTATCTATCTATATCTATCTATCTATCTCTCTATCTCTCTATCTATCTCTCTATCTATCTCTATCTCTATCTATATATATATATATATATATATATATATATATAATTTTGTAATTAATTACAATAATTCGTTCCTTTTCAAAAATGTAATTAATTACAGGCCAAAATTACTGCAAACGTAACGAGTAGCCTGTAACGCGTTACAATTGTAACGAGTATTCACAGCACTGGCATTCACTGGTTTATTGGAGCAATTGGTGACACTTTGTGTTCAATCACCTGCTCACGGCTCACCCCCCTAAAATTTCTGGCACTACCCCAGTAATAAATATGAAAATCCTTCTATCCCCGCCATCACGCCATGGTGACATTTTATACCCTAAATCAGTTGATATTATTTCAGAACCATCCCCAGAGATACGAAAAACTAGTTTCATATTAATCTGACACTGCAATCGAGCAACGAAAAATTTGTTGGCTCGAGCGGCATTTGAACTCGCATCTTCGGGTATCTAGACCGCCGCTCTACCTATTGAGCTATCGAGTCAACAGGGATTGGTAGCGAGTCTTATCCAATTTAAGTGCACGAAATATTTTCGTGATGACTTAACGCTTGTCTTAGAGGACGCGCAGTGATTCAATTCCAGGGTTCGAAATAACGGTTCGTGATTTGTGAATCACGAATCAATTTTCATTTTTCACGAACCCAATTTCATAGAAATTGATCAAAATCACAAATCAAAGTCTCTCAAATTGATAAAAATATACAATAGTAAATTCAGTTCTTTGTAAATGTGATGAAGGATCATATATTCTGAAGATATTGTTGTTAGATTGTACTTAAAAACGATTATAATTCCACCCAAAATTCTATTTCTTTTATGAGTTTGCGATGTATATTATATATTTGAAAATTGCACTGCTTCCACTTTTTAACTTCCAATTAGAAAATTCCTTGAGAATTCCTTAAAATTTCCTTAAAATAAAAAAATTAATTCACGAACCATTTTTTCAGAATTAATTCGAACCCTGAATTGTATTTCAGAACCATCCTCAGAGATACGAAAAACTAGTTTCATATTAATCTGACAAACCTAGTTTCATATTAATATGAAAAACTAGTGCAATGCTTCAATCTACAGTAAAACCTCTATAATCCGTATTACATGAAGTATATGTAATACAGCAGGCTTTTGTTATTGTTTACATTTTACTCAAATATAACAAATAGCGATAAAAATACCTTGTTTGGTATATTTCTGATAAAAATCAGACAAAAAGAGCAAGGATTATAAAAGGATGGTTTAAATATGATGGATTGTAAACACTTTCCAGATGATCTAATCTATTCGTCCCGATAAATGGCCGCCAGCAGGAGTTTGAGCCCACAAATTCCAGGTGTGACACTAATCCTTTGATCCATTTATACATGTCAAAGCATTGCAGAATGAATTTTTTTAAAAATAAAAGATCTTTTCGGGAGATTTATGATATATACATGTATTACTGAACATATCGTCAAATGCAGTGATGTTAAATGTGTCCAGGATATCATTCCACTGGTCCACTTCTGTAAGTGCACGTAAATTACTATTGTCTCACAGAATCGATATTAGGTAAAATTTATTCAGTAAAAAACAGACGTTGTTAACTCAATCCACGTTCAGCATTGTGGCCGTTTAAGAGTTCGCCATCGCTGCTCGGTGTATTCGGATAGGTAACAAAAAACTAAAATCAAAGATAAAGAAATACATACATGCTAAACTATACTACAAAAAATGTAAACATGAATGCACAGAGTAATAAATACACAAGTACGTACATCTGTGTGCGTTTTAGGTGAAGCAAGTTCGTTTAACCTTTAACTCAACTTCGATCGTTATACTGTCACTTATAACATAAATGAAAACGCGTTCTGTTCGACTTCGTATCGTATGATCAACTGACTAGTTAATCTTCTAGCAAGTATTTAAACGCCTTACAAAATGTGCAATGTCAATCATGCATAACAAACTATAATTTGCATAATTAGTCATTTAATAAATTTTATACTTAAATGCACACGCCATAACATTCCCGGTCCCTAGACTTCGCAAGAAGTTTACACAATTCACTGATCTTCTTTAGCCAATAAAAGTACAATCTTTGAGATTGGTCTTTTATACACAGTTTCTTTTATCTTTACCATTACAACCTGGTTCTGTGTCCACGACTAGGCCCAAGGGCCACATATTACGAGGTGTATTCTCTTCTTTCAAAATTACCACATCTCCCGTCATCAGGTTACGCTTAGGTTGTTGCCATTTGCTTCGATTTTGCAGGGTAAGAAGGTATTCTTTCTTCCATCTAGTCCAGAATAGGTTTACCAGGTATTGAACTCTTCGCCAACGACGATGCAGGTAAACGTCGTTTTTCTGAAAATTTCCAGGCGGAGGAAGTATCACAGCAGACTTCATTGTAAGGAGGTGATTAGGAGTTAGTGGGTGCAAATCGGAAGGGTCATTTGATACCACCGTCAATGGTCTGGAGTTAATTACAGCTTCAACTTCGCATATCAAAGTCCTGAACGACTCTTCATCCAAACGACTTCCATGCTCGTACATCAACCCAGCCAGAACTTTTCTCGTAGATCTGATTTGGCACTCCCACACACCGCCCATGTGGCTAGCCGATGGTGGATTAAATTGCCATTCGATTCCTTCTCGACGAAGCTTAATACGGATACTATTTTGATCCATTTCTTCTAGGGCTCGTTTAAGTTCTTTATTTGCGCCAACAAAGTTTGAACCGTTATCACTCCTTAAACATCTTACTGGACCACGGCGAGCTACGAAACGACGAAGTGCCAAAATGAACGAATCTGAATCGAGGGAATTGGCGATTTCGATATGCACAGCTCTGCTTACCAAACAAGTAAAAATTGCCCCATATCTCTTCAATTCTTTTCGTCTTTTAGGATGAAAGGGCCGACGTAATCAACCCCTGTGTGGGTAAATGGAGGTGCTGGCGTAATGCGGTCTTCGGGTAAATCAGCCATCTTTTGTTCGCTAACTTTTCCGTGATGGCGAAGGCAAAACACGCATTTGGATAGGACTCGTCGTACTGCGGCGTTAACCTTTATCACCCAATACTTTTCGCGAATAGCTGCGATAACATGATTTCGTCCAACATGACCTAACTGTCGGTGTAGATGACGAATGATGAGGATTGTTACATGATTCTTGTAAGGTAAGATGATTGGATGGGCAGTTTCTGGCGACAGCTCTGCACGATTAAGTCGGCCTCCAACTCTAAGGATTCCGTCTTTAAGGTATGGATCGAGACGATGGATCGAGCTGACTTTCTTGATAGTCAATTTTTTGCTTTTCTGAAACTTCCGGTAGTCTGCAGAGTCTTCGAGCTTGATGTTGCTGAGACACATTATCTCTTTGGGAAACATAGTTAACTGAATGAACTTTACGATGGCGATCTCAGCTTGGGCTAGGTCTTCAGCAGAGAGGGGGTTGGAGTGACTGTTTGCGATGAAGTTTTCGTTGTTTACACTTGAACGAGCTTGTATCCTGTCTCGTAGAATCTTCTTTGTGCAAAGAAATACGGCTATTACTTTCTTCAACTGATGCCATGAGGAAATGGAGTGAATCAATTGGTTCGTAGGATTATTTAGGTCATCAATCATAGTTACATTACTTCCAACTTGATGTTTGATTTCAGGATCATCATTGCTAATCTGACCCATATCAATTGGTTGTTGTGGCCATTCTTGTTCTGGTTTCCAAAGGAACTCTGGACCTTCGAACCATCGTCGCTGCTGAAGTAGGCGTTCTCCGCTTGTTCCTCACGAAGCATCGTCAGCAGGGTTGTCATATGTTTCGACGTATCTCCATTGATTTGGGTTTGAGTAGTCACGAATTAGTTGAACACGATTGGCGACAAATACATGAAACCGTTGTTGCTCGTTGATGATGTAGCGAAGGACGGTTGTGGAATCGGTATGGTATTTCAGATAATAAATATCGTCCAATTCACTCTTTAACAGCGCTCCCATACGAACGGATACTGCTGCGGCGGTGAGTTCCAAGCGTGGTATCGTCACTATCTTCATGGGGGCCAAACGAGCTTTGCCCATTAGGAATGAACAATAGATGTTATCACTTTCATCGCATAAACGAAGGTCCGCTACCGCTCCATAGCCTGTTATGCTGGCATCGGAGAAAATATGAATTTCTTGAGAAACCACTTTTCCAAAATCTTTGGGTCTAACACATTGTGGAACTTGCAATTTCTGAAGTAAAGGAAGCTCAGTTAGCCATCTTTCCCAACGAATCTTATGTTCATCAGAAACTTCGTCATCCCAGCCGATGTCTTCATGACAAAGGTCTTGAAGTATTTTTTTCGCGGGGAGTATAAACGGAGCCGCGAAACCAAGAGAATCGTAGACGGAGGAAACAGTTGACAATATTCCTCTTCTAGTAGGTGGTTTGTTGGTAAGGACGATTCGAAATTCAAAAGCATCTAATTTGACGCACCACTGCATGCCAAGAGCATGTTCGATAGGTAGCATGTCTCGGTTTAAATCCAATGTTCTGGTTTCTTTTGAACGTTCTTCCACTGGGATCGTCTCGAGAACCGCACAACTGTTACTGACAAACTTGGTCAAACGAAATCCTCCTTTTGCGCACACCATCTTCAGATCTTGTGCTAACTTCGTGGCGCTTTCTTCAGTTGTATCTGACCGCAAACAGTCATCGACATAGAAGTTTCTTCGAATAGTTTCAGCAACAACTGGATAATCTGACTCATTGTCTGCGGCAGTCTTCCTTAACGTGTAGTTACAGCAACTTGGTGAAGAGACTGCTCCGAATAAATGGACCACCATTTGATACTCTTCTATTTCCCCATTCAAATCACCTTCTGGCCACCAAAGAAACCTCAAGTAGTTCCACTGTTCTTCTGGTACCCACACTTGATGGAACATAGCCTCTACGTCCGCCATAAAGGCTATTGGTTCTTTTCTGAAGCGGGTAAGGACACCGATAAGAGAATTTGTAAGATCAGGACCTTGTAACAGTAATTTGTTTAGTGATGTTCCAGCATAATCAGCACTACAGTAAAAAACAACGCGTATTTTCTCAGGCTTTTTCGGATGATAGACGCCATGATGTG